TTTACTGAGAACTTAGTATGTGCTGTCCTGGGTCACAGTGTTCCAGGTACAGCTAATATAGCACTGAACAAAGAGCTCTCGTTCAGATGGGGAACACTCGTTTACTGACTGGTGATCATAATTATGGGCTTCCCCGACGGCTCAGCGGGTAAAGAATCTGCCTGCAATGCAGGAGCCACAGGATCAATCCCTAGGTGAGGAAGGTCCCCTGGAGGGGGACATGGCAACCCACCCCAGTATTCTTGCCTAAAAAATCCCATGGACAGAGGAGCCTGGCGGGCTACAGTCCAAAGGGTCACAAAGAGTAGGACATGACTGAGCAACTAAGCACATAATCATAATCCACCCCCAGAACTGGGCTATTGACATTTGCAAAGCCCTGTTCTTTGTTCCACTAGGGAGGCCAAGCCAGGAGGACATGCATGTCGCCCTCCTCCCTGGTCACAGTGAGAAAGCATATCGGTCACAGAGAGTGACTCAGAGGGGAAGAGAATTGAGATGAAAAGAGAGCACCTTGATTACCTCATGATGCCTAGATCTAGTCAAGCCTGAAGTCAACACCCGAGTTTCCCAGTTACATGAGCCAAGAAGTTCCCCCTTTTTCTTTTAGGCTTATTTGACTTCGATTTGTGTCACTTGGAGCCATATGAGACCTAGTTAATACAGGGACTCAACTCAAACTTTACCTTCTTCTCAGTATTTTTCCTGAATGCCTGGTGTAAGATGGCACAGTTTGAATGCTATGACCATATACAGATGGGACCTCTAGCTTGACGCTTCATGGAAAGAATCAAACAGAGCTCACACAGGATAAGGGCTTGGATTTCTGAATCCCAGGGGCCTTGAGTATATTAGATGCCCCCCGAATACTTGTGGAAGTAGCTGATAATGAATTCTTGCAGTCAGTGAAACCCTATAACAAATAGTAAATATCTACCATATGTATTTATATACATGGAGAGAGGAATTGACTGAGATTGAGACTGAAAACAGGGCCTTCTGTGATCTGAACTAACCAGAGGCCTAGAAAGTCTCAGTGACTTTCCCTGGGTCACACAGCCAATGGGAGGCAGATCAGGGATTCAAACCCAGACAGTCTTGGATCCAAAACATGTATTCTTACCCACTACCCCACATGGGCTAATCGATAATGCTGACAATTTCCCAACTCTGAAAGTCTGTCAAAATGAGGCACAGAGCTGTGGTGGTAACAAGTGGCAGAATCCATCTATCTTGCTAGAATAAGGATGCTGGAGAGCCCTGTCATGACCCCATTTCTCCCAGACAGGCAGGAATTTCTACTCTAAGGGGAGGCTGTATTTCTGAGCATTTCATTCAACTACTAGAGCCAATGACAACAATCATAGCTACAGTCTGCGTGCCAAAAGCTATACCTCGACTCATTTAATGCTTGCATTAGCTCTGTGAAGTAGGGTTGGTTAACCCACTCTACAGGTGACAAAGTGGTGATTAAAACATGCGAGAGGGATGCTATCAGCAGTCAGTGGGAAAGCCAAGACCCAAATCCCAGTCTGTGGCTCCAATCCTATGTTCCGTCCAGCTGTGCCTCAAGAGATCCAAACCCAGTTTGTGCCAGAACAGCACCAGAGTTACTGCCTGTCTGCACTTCTGTGGGCCTGGCTGTGGCCCCAAATGGTTCCTGAGGGATGCAACTACAGGAGTTTCACTGCATACAAACATGGAAAGTTTTAACTTCATTTAGGGTTGTTCACAGCATGCACTCCTCCAGGGAAGTTATTTTTCAAAAATCAATATTGGGGGAGAAAACTGTTCCGTATGTCACCATCCATCTTTCTCAGCTGTGTCTTGTGACCTTTCTACCTGCTTCTTGCAAAGTACTGACCTTGACTTTCTCCAGCATAAAGACAAGCAATCTCCTTAACTACTTAGCAGTGAACCTACCCAGAGAGATCTGGTTTTCACTCATCTTTTCAGAAAGTCTTATCTTATCCAAACCATTGCTCTTGATCCTTCCCTCCCTGAAATGATCACAATGAGCTTATCTGAAATGAAAGCTCCATCTGTGGTCTTAGGACATAAAGGGGGACTTTTGCTTTAAAATCAGACTGGAGTTATCCTGTGCATGCAAACAATCAGAAGACCCACTCTTAAATGTTATATTACAAAGCCACCTTCCTCAAAAGAACAATATTCCATGTCTTTGATAATTCTACCTTCAGGATTGTTGGAAAATTATACATTTACATATATTTGTTACATTAATTAATTCCATTTTCTCAGCCAGGATAAATGATCTGTGCACCTTGAGTAACTTACTCACCAATCTCCTACTCCCTACAACCAACCACTGGGTCTTCAACACATATTAAGTGTAAAACACTGGTCACAAAACAGTACTTACAGTATGATCCTACTTGTTTTCAGGAACCTTATAAGTAGCAGCAATTATTAGGACACTAGAGAAAAAGACACCAAGATGCTATTAGTTGTTACAACTGGGTCATGGATTTGAAGTGATTTCTATTCCTTTTATTGATCTCCATTCTCTGAATTCGTCTACAAAATTTAGAAATAAGAGGAAAAAACACTAAAAGTGTCTTTCATACCAAAAAAAAGAATCTACCTCAGGGAAGTCTCACTTCCCTCCCTGGAGCTCGGCGGTCTCTAAGCTGCCATCCAGCTCTGTCTTTACTGTACCCTCAGCTCATCCAGGGGCTGACGCAAGGGCAGAAATCGAAAGGGAAGAAGCTCTGGGGCAAGGGGTGGCGGCAAGGGTGAGGGGCAACCCAAGAAGGGATTTCCCAGCCCTGTGTCACTTCTGGACTCTGGAGGCATCAGCAGGATGGGACCTGCAACCTCACCCACCCCAAGCACCACCTTTGGAGAAACCGCCAGCTACCCTGGCCTTACCCCTCCCCATTTACTGCTGCTGACTGGGAAAACTGAAGGCAGTCCCAGAGCAGGGCCTCTCCCTTGAGCAAGCCCACATTTGTGGTTAAGAAGATATGGTTTCAGAGTCAAACTTTTCTGAAATTCAGCATATTTCTGATCTTTCCCAAATCATAGGAATGAAAGCTAGAGACCAATGTACTGGTCAGTAGTGGTTACTGCTCCCCGCAGCCTTGGCAGTCAGTTCTGCCCAGCATAATGTGAACTGAAGCAACTTCCTGATGCTTGGAGGTTTATTCAGAATACACAATCATAAACAGACACAGGAGACTCCAGCTCACCCTGTGAGGGATTTCAAAGTGACTCACCCTGAAGCCTCAGCCATTCCCAGAAACACAGTTTCACTCTTTGAAAATGCATTTGTGTCCACATTTAGGGACGTTACTCCCAGGACTGTGTGGACCTTGCAGAGAAAGATCATTTTGGGTGAACAGCCCCCAGCTCTCCCTGACTCAGCTGCCCACCAGGAGCCAGGCTGCAGCCGGCTCAGGCAGGAGCTCTGTAAAGGCCCAGGGACTCAGAGCAGCACAGGAAACCCCCACTTCTGCCTGCTCTGCAGCAGCACAGATGAGAAACAGCGCCACCTACTGTAGCACCGCTCTCTTACTCTAGACCCCAGGTGAGTGTGGGAGGGTTGAGTGCGATCACTACAGTGGTCAATAAAATCTATTGTCCAAATGGGACATTTGGAAAGTGAATACTGGGGAGGGGGGAGTGGTGCTATTAAAGCTATGCCAGAATAATAGATGTTAAACAGGAAAACCCCAGACAAACCAGAGTGTGGTCATCCAGAAAACATCTCCCACTTCTATTGCCAGATGAGACGTCTGTTGCGAGGATGGTACTCCCTTTCCTCCTCAGAAACATGTGCTACTGAAGAAAATCTACTTTCCGAATCAAACCAAGGCCTTTTTCAGCAAGCTTCCCAGCATCCCAGGGAAAGGAGAGGCAACTATCATGGGAGCCACGAGGCTGTAGCAGGGCCTTTATCTGTCTGGATCACAACTGCATCTCCAGGACCAAGGCAGTGTTTGGCAGCTCATTAGGAGCTCAGTAAATCTTTGCTAAATTAATGAATAAATGCCTGAGCAGAGCTTCTAAAGCCATCCAGGAACTTCAGGAAACGAGAGAGACTTAGCAACCCTAAGTAACACTGTTCCTCAAACTGGGTAACAGTTTAGGTTTGAACTCTATTGCATAAACAGTTATGCACTGCCCTTCTGTGGAATTTATAAATAAATATGAAACATGCAAAGCTTTCAAATACCAGGTTGAACTGAAACCTGAGACTGTAAGCTTCCAAATAAACTAAATGGAGAAAAAATGATTTTGAAGCTGCTGCTGAACTTCAAGTCAAGTGAAACTACTTCCTGCAGTGTTTCCAACATGATCTCATTCAAAATTTTCTTGGCCAAAACTGGTACTGAATCAACCCCATCCTCACTAAGTGTACATTCTCTGCAAAGCAGGGGCCATGAGAGAATTGGATTAGCAAGAGATTTAGTGGAGGAAATGTCTATCAAGGCTAAAGGAGAAGGCACAGAAAAAGGCAAGGGAGGGCTTTCAGACCATGATGTGAGAGGGACACCTGTGAGAGGAAGGGAGAGGAAGAGGGGGAGGAAGGAAGGAGGGATGGGAAAGAGCCACCTCAGGCCTGATGCACTTCTAAGTCTGGCCTGATGCTTTGGCCAGACTGATGGGAAATTCTGGAGCCCAAGTTGCTGACAGAGGACTTATTCCTCCTGTAGGAACAGGCCAACGTGAGTACTCCCCGCGTCAGCCACAGGCTGGGAGAACGTAGCCTCAGCATGAACACAGCGGGGGAGCAGAGAGGCAGCAGCCAGTCCCCTGTGCCCCCAGAGCACCAGCTCTAATCACAGCCTTCACAGGCACTGTTTCAAATAATACTCTCCCTGGAAATAACTCTTGTTTCTATAAATCCAGACAGGCTCTGGTGAAATTATGCCAGCTTTCAGTTGAAAAGTCAAAGTAGGTAACAAGTGAACTATCCCACCACCACCATCTTTTCCTCCCTGCAGCTATAACTTTTCAGACCACTAGTCAAGATCAAGTCTTCTCATAGAATCTCAATCAGTGGGAGCTTTTATTTAAAAAATAGAAGTCTATTTTTTCATTTGAATGTTTCCAAATAATTAAGCTTGTCCTGAGCAGCCTGCATGGGAGCTGCCCGGAGGGACTGAGAAGGGAGGCATTTGGTCACTGTCATCCAGCACTAAATTCTTTATGGGGCTGGGTTTTGAGTTCTTCATTCTGCTTTTGGTCAATCCATGGTTGTGATTCTGGTCCAGAAGCCATCCAGGGAGAGCAAGTGCTGGGCCATCCTCAGCTCTTACCCAGATGGAACAATTTCCGCAGAAAGGCTGGTCCTCCCCAGTAGCCCCTGTAAGAAATGACACAGAATAGTTCTTTGCATCGGAAAAAAGGGGGTGACTTCAGGCAGCAGGATGTTAAAAGGGAAGCCAGGCTGCTCACAGACAATGTTTCTCAGGCTATAAAGCAAGTTTGACAGCGAGGTAGAAAGAACCCAGGTCTAGGAGGGCACAACTGACTTTAACACTGACTTGCTATGTGAGCCTGAACATACTGACTCAATTCAGCAAAGCTGTATGAAGCCTCTACTATGCGCCAACTGCAGTCCTCTCTACCTTGACCAGCTCATAAATTAAGTACAGGTCCGGGTTTCCAAACCTATTGGCATTTTGGACCATATACTTCTCAGTGGCAGGGGGCAGTCCTATTTAGCAGCATCCTTGGCCTCTGCTCACTAGATGCCCATAGCATCCCCCCCAGCTATGACAACAAAATATATCTCCACATATTGACACACAGCCCCTGGGGAGCAGAATCATCCCTAGCTGAAAAACACTGGTGTCTACATTTTGACTTACTTTTCTCAAAGGGTTTGGGAGAGTCAAATGAGATTTTTTTCTTTTGTTTTTTTTTTTTGCAACAAGGAAGAGGAATTTGTCACTGTTTACTTATTGAATGCCTACAATGGATCTGTCTCTTTATGTATTGTCTCATTCATCCCATCCTGTGAGGAAGACAATGTTCCTTTCATTTTGCAAATAAGACACTTAAACACAGAAAGTTTAAGCAACTTGCCCTAGGATGCATAGTTGGTAAGTGGCACATGACTCAAACACAGGTCTCCAAAGCTTAGCTCTTAATTAGTATGTTTTCTTTTCTTATAACAAAAACAAAATTAAGGTGGCAGATGATAAAGCACTTAACAGGTCAAAGTGATTCACTATGACTATGATGATGATGATGATTTATCCAGCATCAAGACAGTACCAGAACATGAAAGACAGGAGAACTGGTCACTGCCGATTATAAAGAGAAGAGGCTGTGTCCCTGTGGGTGGGTGGCAGCTGTGCTAGGGCTCCTTCTCTCACCCAGGGCAGCCTCCTGCCCATCACGTCTGGCTGAGACTTCAGAACCCTTCTCAGACTGCCGTTACCAATCTATGAGACATGACTTAGCAAGGTGGACCCCCTTCGCCAGTCCTGCTCGGGGTCATATCTCCTGAAGCTGGAAGGCCTCCTTGAAACAACCCCCCTGTACAGGTTGCCGCAATCTGCTAACAGGTATGCCTCTCTCCCAGGTGATATACTTACCTCAGCATCAAATTCCAATACAGGAACGGCATCATGTCAGCCTTCATGAGGTACATGGAAAGTCTCTCTTTGCTCTGGTCAAAAGGGAAGGTCTCCAGGGGCTCAGAGTTGTAGTTAAACTCTGCGAGAATCACACGGTTGTAGCCAGTGACCAGCGGACACGACGTGTAGCCATCATACTGTGATGGAGACAGGGTGGAAAAGTGGCTTTTTTTCAAGTGCTATCTAGACACCTTGGCTCCCCAGGTGGCTCAGACAGTAAAGAATCTGCCTGACAATGCAGGAGATGCAGGTTCAATCCCTAGGTGGGGAAGATCTCCTGGAGATGGAAATGGCAACCCACTCCAGTACTCTTGCCTGGGAAACCCAAGGGACAGAGGAACCTGACCGGCTACAGTCCATGGGGCTGCAAAGAGTCAGACACAACTTAGCGACCAAACAACCACCGCCTAGACATCTTAGAACTTATTATTTAGTCTGAGCAGTGGCAATGTTTTCCTTTTTTGTATATTCCACTCTTCTTACAATGAAAATATAGAAATTATATAACAAGGATATACTAAAGGCAAAGATTGAAGTTGCATAATGGAGAAACTAATTAAGAAAGCAGCAAAATGGTGGGAAAACAGTTTTCATGCAGAATGGAAGATGGTAAGTTGAGACAGTGACTCTTATAAGGCATACAAACCTTCTTCACTGGTGTTTGATTCTTCATAATCAGGGAAATTGTTCTGTCAAGTACTCCTGACTGTGCAGCTATATAAGAAATGGAAAAGTCAGGGCAACAGAAGTGTCTAGATTTTCCATGAAAACTAATTTGCAAATAATTTTAATGTGAAGAAGTTAAGAAGGCTCCGTATCCCACCCCTCTAGATTGTAACTAGAATACAGCTCAACCCAGTGATGGACTCTAGCTTCACCAAGGACCAGACAAACAAACAGGACAGGCTCCTGAGGTGACACAGTGGGAGGCACAAACGTACAACCCGAGTCTGATCATAGGAAACTACCGGACAATTCTAAATTGCAGTATTTCCTATGTAATAACCAACCAGCACTCTTCAAAATTGTCAGTGTCATGAAAGTAAAAAAAACAAATGTCAGAGGCTTGTTCTAGATTAAAGAAAACCAAAGAGACATGACAATCAGTGAGCAGTGTGGCCCTTGACTGGCTCACAGATTTACGGGGAATTGCAGATGGTGGGGGAAAGAGTGGATAGGGAAAGCTAAAAAGGACATTTTTAGAAAAACTGAAGAAATTCACAATGGGTGGTATTAATGATTTCATAATGTAATGTTCAATTTCTTAAACATGAAAATGATCTTGTGGGTATAGGGGAGAAAGTCCTTTTTCTTAGGAGACAGAAGTTGAAGTATTTGAGGGTGAAGTATCATGATGTCAAAATTTACTTTCAGATGACTTTAAAAAATGGTTCATAGCGTGATCAGACAAAGTATTCATTTATTGGTTAATTATTATATTGGTCACAAATATGAATAATTGGTTAATACCTGAAGGGTATATTGGTATTCATTGTACTTTCAAAGTTTTCATAGGTTTGAGACTTTTGAAATGAAAAGTTTGGGGAAAATGACTATAAATAATAAGAAGGACATTCAGTGGATTTCCTAGAAAGCCTTTCTTAGGTTGACATAGTCAACAAAAGTAACACATGTTCTGCGGGTATGCAATTCACATGAAACACTCGCATACCCACCGGCAGGGAGGTTCGTGTTTTATAGCATCTAAAAAAGACAGTTCCTGTCTATAGAAAACAGAATCTAAAAGGCAATTCTCTCCATCACTGCTAGAGCAGAACATCGACGTGAAGAATTTAGTTGCCCAGGCTAAGGCCTTAATCGTGTACCAATCAGGGCACTCTCCACTGTATCTGTCTTAACACAGCAATTTTCTGCTCTGCAAGCTTTCATTGACTTGCATGTGTTTTCTGGGGAAACAAATGCTTCCCTAGTTTTACAGTGTTTCAGGCAGAAGAAAAACAGCCAAGCTGCCTAGCATCAGGGATGTTCCAAAGAAGACCAGGGATGTGAGCATGATAGTATGAGAAGTTAACAGAATTCTAGAGAGCTGGAAAAGTGGCACCCCTCTCTCCAATGTCCCCCTCCCCTGAAAACCACCCTCCTGACCCAGAAAAGTCAGACGAGATCATGCTACTCTGGTACAAAGCATTCAACAGATACTTTCTTCTTTACACAACACTAAATTCATTGACAACTACGTACATTACACAACACTAGGTTCATTGACAACACTTCCGTTTTGGGAGGCCAAAGGCATTTTTAGGCACAGACATTTCTTCATTGATATAATTAGTATATAATGAAATGCCGCTGGTGTCCAACTTTTGTTTCTATTATGATGATGCCTTAGCAGAAGGCACCCCTGCTTTGAGTGAGGAGGGAACACAGCTCAAGTCCTTACCTACGGCGGCAGCAGTCTTTGATGTCGGCAGGTTGGTACAGTCCCCGATCCCAAACACATTTGGGTACCGCTTGTGCTGCAGAGTGTCTTTGTCCAAGTCCACCCAGCCGGCAGCATCAGCCACAGGACTCGTCTTGAGAACATCTGGTGAGCTCATGGGTGGTGTAACGTGAAGCATTTCATACTGCAAAAAGGAGAGCATCCAAATGTGTGTTTGTTCCATTATTTCCATAGCCCCACAGCCTCTGGCCCCAACTCCCTGACACACACGTGGACTATGGCTGTACGGAGCACTGTACAGTTAATTAGTGCTCGCACTGATCCACACGCTTGCCAAGATCATCCATGCTCCCATGCAAGGCAGTGATCAAATAACTGATGTGGTCTCCCCGTACAGAGTTCACGGGATCCCTCTGGCAGCTGGCATGGGGGAATCTGAAAAACTGAAGTGAACTTCACTAACATTTTGAAAGAACTCATTGATGCTTCTACTTATTACTGAAATGAAGCGGGTGATATATCTCAGTTGCTATCTTCCTGACCCTCATCTGATGACTTGTAAAGTCTAGTTACATCAGGTTTACTCTGCAAAGAGGTTCTCAAGAGTGCCTAAAACTTGTAAAAACCCATGTTAGGAGCTAATAAGTGAGCACCACTCTCAAATGTGAGTCAACTCTCAAAACACAAAAAGGCAACCATCAAAACACCAATTTAAGGTTAAATAATGGGAGTTGGTGATGGACAGGGAGATCTGGCATGCTGCAATTCATGGGGTCGCAAAGAGTCGGACACAAGTGAGCGACTGAACTGAACTGAAGGGCAGCAAGAATATTGACTAGCACTTTGAAGAAGGAGGGGTCTAATTAAGTCTTGGGTTTACTGAACTGTGTAGGAAGCAGGATGGATTTGTTTTCCCCATAAACCTTTATCAAGGCTACCCTTGGCAGTTAGGCACTGACCCAACCTAATCAGTTTTGACAGCTCATGTAACTCTTTTGCTTATGTGATGTGCTTTTTTGTTTGTTTACATAATATTTTGTAATTTATTCTATTTACTTTTAACCAACTCTATCTAGCAATTTCAAATTAATTAAGTGTTCACAAAATAATTCATTACAGTGAAAACTTTAGCATCTTAGGACAATCCTAACCTTGTGATAGTCAACAGCCCCTGATTTTCATAACAAGTTCCGTATCATCACCAGGGCCTGGCAGTCATGATGGCAGAGGGAGTTAGGGATGTGACTTATATTTATTCCCACTCTCAGTTATGAGCTTAGTAAACCTTAAGGTGGAAGAAGTGGAGTGAATGTGCAGTGCTTTGCAAAGTACTCTAGTTGGCTCTTTAGTGACCTGGGTCCCTGAGGCTGTGTCTGTTAATTTACATGCAAACTGAGCTCATGTCTGCAGGACAGCAGATGGAATAGTCAACAACCATCATCCACCAAATTATTAAGGCCATGTCTGTATTTCTAAAGTTAACCAGAACTGAGGGCAAAATCTTACTAGCATCATCTCTATCTATTAGAGTTAATATATGCTTGAATTGCACAAATACACATGAATTTCATACATCTTTTCTAGAAGGGAAGTTAAATATTTCCACATAACCATCATAAAGGCATGACACTTTACTTGAGCAAAAGAACTACTAGGGTCATTTTATAGATTTGCTGGAAATTAATATTGGCATTAGGTTATAGCTTGTTTTTTTATCCATTATTTCCATAAATTGAATCTAGTAAATAGCATGGCTCTCCTTCATTAACATAAAGAACCTATTCAGAGTAGTGGTGTTCAAACTTTTATGTTTATAAAGAAGATCGGTAGAAAATTCAGGTTCCTGGGCCCTACCACCCCAAGATCCCGATCCATTAGGTCTGGGAGAAGAATAGGAATGTGTACTTTAACAACCTCCACCCCAGTGATTCTGAAACACGAAACCTGTAGATGACAGTATTAGAAACTCTGGCTTGAAGGAATAGGTTCATTTATAATGAAAAATGAAATGCTATTACTTAGTCACTTCACCTTTCCTTTCCTTTTCTATAAGGAAATGCACTGTACTAGACAATCTCCAAAATCTCTTCTAGTTCTAGGACACCATGATGTAAAACAAGTTTAGATCTCCAAAAACTGGAGACTTGGGCCAGTTCACAAGCTCTCTGTGAAGGACCAGAGACTAGAGGCTTTGGGTACATTTAATTCTTTACGGTAGTGGTGCTCAGTCCTGGTTACACATGAGAATCATTAGGGGAACTTTGGAAACTCCCAATCCTCAATCCAGACCCCAGACCAATTAATCAAAATCTCTGGGAGTTAAGACTCAGGCATCAGCATGTTTTGAAAGTCCTCTGGGTGACTGAAATGTGCAGCCAGAGCTGAGAATCACTGCTCTAAAGCCTTTTGGTAGATTTCTTGAAATTCATATTTTAAAGAGTAGAATTAGGTCTGAAGAGAAAATTTAATCTAAAAGCCTATACTTCAAAAGGGACACAAATAACCTTCTTTCTTTATAAACCCTTCAGAAGAACAATAACCATTTATTTATCCAAGTCCCTATCTGCAAGCCTCAACTAGCCACGGCACAGCAGAGAACCAGAGTTAAAAGGGTCTAATAACAAAATTAAGTTCGTGCACTCAAGCTCATACACTCTGCTCATAAAAATATGCTGTGGACCCTCACACACCACCCATTTGCTTTTACTTTACATAGAATTTAATGAATTTAGCTATCTCATTTTCCAGCCAATAAAAAGATTAGAAGTAGCAGTTTTAAAATGCTGGAGCTAGAACGATCTCCCAGTCACAACTGCCTGACAGCCAGGAAGGAAGAAAACTAGAAAACTACAAAGAGGATGCACACAAAACCAAATAACAGAGTAGACTGAGGTCCTTTCATAAGAGGAAAACTAGCCCTAAACAACCCAGTAGGCCCTAAATGCATAACTATATAAGAGTTACTCAAAATTATGACCCTGAACTGGGGCAAGGAGACAAGCCTGGGACATGCTGGGATACCAGAAAGCAAGGAAGTACTGAAAAATGTAATGGGGACATGTCACAAGGACATTAAGAGCCATTCTGAAAGGGTTCCTGCTGACCCAGTCTGGGACAACTTGAGCACCAAAGTACATAAGGACAGAATGAATTATAAACTGTGAAATGAAAGATCTCCTGACATATCAATAAACAAGAAATGTCACAGCCATCAGCAATTTCTGGCCTCAAAATATGAATGAGGGCTCCCAAAACTGCAATCCAGCGGATGCTGCCACCCGCCGCGGTGATTGCCGAGGAGCTCGGGAAATGAAGCAGCAAGGTGAACAAGGAAACAGGATTGGCCCCAGATAGCTGAGGTGCTTATGAAAGGAATGAATTCAGTGAGCCCAGAGGCTTGCATCTTCCCATACATAGAATGCTGAATTCCTTAACTTGCTACCTGATCTTTGATGTTCAGGCTGCCTGTTTCCTTTGTTGCAAACTTGTATATAGCCTGACTTCCCCTCCTGCATACTTGGAGCAGTTTTCTCAGAGCTACTGAGATGCTGTCTGCCTGACTCAGAGTCCTAAATATTCCCACCGAATAAAATAACACTCTACTTTCAGGCTGTGACTATATTTTTTAGTTGACAAAACCAGTGGGGGGAAATACAGGCATTCGTAAGTTCATACTAATAATTAATTGGGAAGGGAGAGCTTTTGCTGACAGGATGCCAAGAATCTACCAGTACAGGTAGAGGGATGCTGGACTGGAACATCATTTTGTAACCACCATAGTAAAGACTGGATTAGGCAAAAATCATCAATGGATGCTAAATCTATTGGGAAACTTTAATGAATAGTGAGTAGGGTGTTTGCATGGTCTTGAAGTGCCCCCCTCCTTACTAGTAGCAAAAAAGAAAAAGAATAATAATTCTCTATAGTGAAGAAATTGGACCATATCTGGACTTGTGATCAAAATGAACATCATCAAGGGGCAAATGAGCACTGTGTGCTTTCCAATGTGTTATCCTAGAAAGACTCATCACTTATGCCGTATTTCACACCAAAATGCAGAGCCTGAAACTCATCACCAGGAAACACAAACTCAAAACGAGGAACACCCTATTAAAAAATACAAGTGGGGGAGGGAGCTGTATTATTTCAAAATGCAGGGTCACAGAAGACAAAGAAAGGCTGTAGAAATGTCCCAGATTAAAGGAGGCTAAAAACACATGACAATTAGATGCAATACCTGCCTGTAGACCAACTTCTGGAGGACAGGAAGTACTATAATACTATTCACCAATCAACAAAACTTGAATACAAATCATAGATTAAAATATTGTATCCTTGCTAAATTTACTGAATTGATAACTGTACTGTGGTTATATAAAAGAATACTCCTAACTCTTAGGAAAATTATAGTGAAATATTTAGGGGTAAAGGGCCATGACCCATGACGTACATGAGCGTGTGCTAAGTTGCTTCAGTTGTGTCCAGCTCTTTGCGACCCTATGAACTGTAGCCCACCAGCCTTCTCTGTCCATGGGATTTTCCAGGCAAGAAAACCGGACAGGGTTCCTATGCCCTCCTCCAGGGGATCTTCGCAACCCAGGAATCAAACACTCATCTCTAGTATCTCCTGCATTAGCAGGCAGGTTCTTTACCACTTTACCAGCCTGGTGGCTCAGATGGTGAAGAGTCTGCCTGCAGTGCAGGAGACCGGGGTTCAATCCCTGGGTCAGGAAGATCCCCTGGAGAAGCAAATGGCAACCCACTCCACTATTCTTGCCTGGAGAATCCCATGGATGGAGGAGCCTGGCAGAGTACAGTCTATGGGGTTGCAGGGAGTCAGACACCACTAAGCAACTTCACTTCTTTACCACTAGCACCAGCTGGGAAGCCTGTGATGTACATAACTCACCTTTAAATGCTTTAGGGAAAATAGATTACATTACATACTATTTATATATGGAGAGAAACAGTGAAGCCAATGATAAAGCAAATGGGGTAAAACTCTGCAATAAATGAATCTAGGTAAAGGCTACATACAGTTTTCTTTGTACTATTTTTATTTTTGCAACTTCTCTAAGTTTATTTCCAAATGAAAGTTTTTTAAAATTATGACCTTGAGTCATTAACAGCATTTTAAATGATAGTCACTACATACCATTTAAGAATGGAAAGATGTATGCAATATATTTTAGAAAAAGCTCCCACTAAAAAGCTTAAACTGTGAAGTTCTGATGTTTAGAAAATTAATCTTTGGCTCACTTCAAAATTTCCATTTATGGAATCCTTCATTCCTCTAAAAAGGCTGAATGAATAAAATGTGACTGTGTACTGTTTCCTCATTGCTAACAGCTCTTGCCAAAATGATATAAACAAATGATGCTTCTCTGCATCTTCTCTGGATGCCTTTACATCTTGTTCTTAATGTACTATTCCCACTTCACAGAAGAAACAGATGCACAGAAGCCAAGACCACATACAAAGACTAGATCTCTCCAAGCAGGATGTGGCTCTGCCAGATCTTTCAAGGATTTGTAAGCATTTCCTTTGATGCACAGGTATGAGATGTTTAAAGACACCCTCTTTCCCAGGTAAAAGATATCCATCATTCCTGAACTACCCACAAGCAGGCCTGGCTGTCACAAACCATAAATGGAGACAATCACTATATCCTGCATTTAAGAAGCCCTTCCTAAACTCTAGGCAACTAAAGTTGTGAAATGTTTCTAGCTGCTTCAAATGACTCAGTGCCAAAAATACAGACACAAAACAGGATAAAAAATTCACTTGGTATCAGTAGATGAGGGCTTCTCTAGTGATCCAGTGGTAAAGAATCTGCCTGCCAAGTAGGAGATGCAGGTTCAATCCCTGGGTCAGGAAGATCCACTGCAGAAGGAAATGACAACCCACTCCAGTATTCTTGCCCAGAAAATCCCATGGACAGAGGAGCCTGGTGAACTACAGTACATGGTGTCACAAAGAGTCAGACAGGACTGAGAGACTAAACAGCAACAACAGTAGATGAACCCTCCTCATCTCCCATGGACACAACCTCTTATCTCTTCCCTTCCCCATTTTGGTCCACATTCTCCCCATCACAACCCTAAGATGCTCATTGTAACCAGCCTCCCAAGCACACAACAACGATGGGCAAAAAAGTGGGTCCCTCAGTGTTGCGTGCGTCCATGGCACTGCTCAGCTGACACTTTCGCCTCCACACTCACTGAAATCACTTGGGTCTCTCCAGGTTTGTCCAGATTCTCAAAAACAGCCTCTTGCTTATCAGCTCGGACTTCAATGAGATTTTGCTTGTAGTTGACAGTGAGGGTCCTCTCCTGGATAATCTTCTGTAGGGCATCTGCATACTTCTTGACCCCAAAAATGGCTCCAAGAGAAGTATTGAAAATGATATTGGCCTTGGGTCGCTTTCCAGTCTGAAAAAAAGAAAAAAATAGAAACAATCAACATCAAAGCATTACTCCAGCCACCCTTTTTTTTTTTTAACCTAGACCAGACTTAAAACCCTCCAAAGAGACCTCATCAGCTTTCTCCATCACTGTGCACTGGTGGGGTGAGGTGTGGATCACAGCCTCCTCCTTCTTTTATCTTCCGTCAGTGACGCAACACCTCAGTCCAACTCGATTCAGGGGTTGAGGTGGACTCTATTCAGTGAGATCCAGAGATGAGAGATGAAAGTCAGGTCCAAGGGAAGATAGACCTGAATTGTTGATTCATGTATTCATTTGTTGATTCACTCAGTAAACATTTAATGAGGTCCTAGAGTTGGCCAGGTACTGTTCTAAGTGCTCCACATTCACTGGATCATAGAAAAAACAAGAGAGTTCCAGAAAAACATTGACTTCTGCTTTATTGACTATGCCAAAGCCTTTGACTGTGTGGATCACAACAAACTGTGGAAAATTCTTCAAGAGATGGGAATACCAGACCATCTTACCTGCCTCCTGAGAAATCTGTATGCAGGTCAAGAAGCAACAGTTAGAACTGGACATGGAACAACAGACTGGTTGCAAATTGGGAAATGAGTATGTCAATGCTGTATATTGTCACCCTGTTTATTTAACTTATATGCAGAGTACATCATGCAAAATGCCGGGCCGAATGAAACACAAGCTGGTGTCAAGATTGCCAGAAGAAATATCAATAACCTCAGATATGCAAATAACACCACCCTTATGGCAGAAAGCAAAGAAGAACTAAAGAGCCTCTTGATGAAAGTGAAAGAGGAGAGTGAAAAAGCTGGCTTAAAACTCAACATTCAAAAAACTAAGATCATGGCACCCAGTCCCATCACTTCANACTGAACTGATAGTATGATTATAACCATGTTAAAAAATAGGGAAAACAATGGAAATACATATCAAATTGATAACAGTAACTATACCAAAGCAATTGGATTATGAATGACATCTTTTTTCTATTTTGCAAACTTTCAGTTACATAATTTTGTACATGTGAAATAAAAAGTAAAAATTGATGCTTTTGAACTGTGGTGTTGGAGAAGACTCTTGAAAGTCTCTTGGACAGCAGGGAGATCAAACCAGTCAATCTTAAAGGAAATAAACTCTGAAAATTCATTGGAAGGACCGAGGCTGACGCTGAAGCTCCAATACTTTGGAGAAGTGGGCAACAGAGGGATAGATGGTCAGACAGCATCACTACTCAATGGACATGAATTTGAGCAAACATCAGGAGACAGTGGAGGACAGGGAAGCCTGGTGTGCTGCAGTCCATGGGGTTGCAGAGTCGGACATGACTTAGTGACTGAACTACTAAATTTAGAAACAAAAACGGTATTTTGAATGGATAAAAATGATATCCCTTCAGCCCTCCTTGCCCATCCCTGGAAAGGAAGCATACCTTCCTGAAATAGGCTTCTGATAAGTACATGATCTTCTGCGGGGCCCCAGCGCACTTCACCGGAGTGTTAGGGAAGGTAAAGATGGCGTTGCCCTCCTTGAAGTCCTGCAGAGCTTTCCATGTCTTCTCCACCGTCCTCACTGAGTAGTTGGACCCTATTTTGGGATGGGCAAAACCTTCAGGGAGGCCTTTGATCTGCAACAAAGCACACAAAGAAATGATCATTTAACAAAAGTGAAAATGGAAACTGTGTTTAGGATCCTTCTTCTCCGTCATTTCTACCGCCTCTCATGTATTCCAGCACAATTCTGAGCCCCCTGGACTCACATACAGTGGAGCTAGCAGGTGAGTGAGGGCTCTGCTAAGCCCAGAGCCGTGGGGCTTGCAGTCATCTCCCAAAGTGGAGAAAGGACGAGGCCGAGGGGAGACCCTGGGCCTCTGTGGCCTGGAGACCAGAATTTGGACCTCTCTTCCCACCATCAGAGTGAGGACAAGAAGCCAGCCTTACTTCCTTTTTGGCGAACAAGTTTTCTTATTGGGAAGGAGAAGAACAACAGGCAGAACCAAGAGCCACACTATCAGTAATAGCAAAATTAAATTACCCTGTAACAGGCTGGACCAGGCCAAGTGCTTGATAAAAGCAGCAAAGGCAGGAAATTAAAAGCATGGACTTGAGAACCTACAGACTCCAGTTTGAGTCCTAGCTCTTCCACTTACAAGCATTGTGGTCCTCAGTAAATGGCCCAATAAATCAGCTAGTGGGTCTCAAGTGTGGTCCCCAGAACAGCACCACCTGGGAACTTGTTACAAATGCAGATTACCAGACCCTAGCTCAAACTCACTGGATCAGAAACTGAGAGGCAAGCCCAGAAATCTGTTTTAACAGGCCCTCCAGGTAATTCTGATGCTCACTGAAACGCTTATGTTCATCATCTGTGAAATGCAGATAAAAATAACTGCCCTGTAGGATTGCTGGCAGGAGTAGAGACCATGGTATAAGATGATTAGAAAGATGACACGCGTATGGTACATGCTCTGTAAATGTCAGTGTATTCCTGTCAGGAAGATTAACTGGGTCCTTCTCTTAAATGTTAGAAGGCTCATATAACACAATGGAGATGGAAATGAGTGAGTTAAGAGACTCAAGGATGATCAGAGAACCATCAAAAACAGTCTCAAGATGAGCAGTCCTTCAAAACCTCTCCAGGCTGAAGGGCACCCACTCATGACTCATGGAATCGCCCAACACCTATTTCTCAAGTCTCAGGGAAACAGAGTCCTCGGTCTCCTCCATCACATGTTAAGAGTGAGCATTCCTCTGATTGTTAACCATATCTTATGCTACAGTTTAAGTAGCTGTAATATTAGCAGTCTCAACAACAGTTGAGACTTACTATTATAAAATAATTTAGTATTATAAAATCACCCTGCATTTTAATGTTTCTGCCATCCTACATCGATGTTTATATTCACTCTACTCACTACACTCCCTCTGAGGGAGGGGGTGGAATATTACTGACCCACAGACAAAGATGACGAAACTAAAGAGCAAGGTTGAGAGATCCACCTAGACTCTTACACAACTAAATACTGAGGCCCCTGCCCACTGCCTGCAGCCCTTACCACATGACCTCCATGCTTTCCAGTACCCAAAGCAAAACTCAGGATCCAGGAGATAAGTAAATAGCCAATGTGCCTTCATCATATTTCTCTAGTCTGAAGAAACTGTTATCAAGGAAAACGGTACCATAAAGTAGTAACCAAGTTCCTTTTAAGGAGAGTTGTTCCTAAAGGGCAGTTTATGACACCACTGAATCCAAGGTGCTTCCCTGGGAACCCAGAAGCAGAAGGAGCAGGAAAGTCTGAGAAAGAGAGGAGATCTGACCCCCATTCTGTGGGGAGCTGTGGACCATCCTACCACACTGAGAAGACCAGAGAGCAGGACATGGCACTGCAGAGATTCACCGGGAACTGGTGGCCAAAGAGCCAGAGGCAGCTGGGCAGAGAGAAGCTGCTCACATTCATCAAAGCCCAGATCATAGATCAGTCCTTCTAGAGGCCCAATGACATCCCACCCCCGAGATCCACACACTTTGGCATCCTCATCAAAGCCATCTCACCTCTGTTTACACTAACCTGGGTAGTTTTCTAGTATCTCCAAGATTGCTAAGTAACACAGTAGCCCTGGAAACATTACTCACATCCTCTTAGCCTCAGTTTCCTCATCTATCAAGAGGAGATAAAAATATCTACCTCTCAAGCAGTCATGAAGAATCAGTATTAGATTCTTAGCATGATCCCTGGCACATGGTAGAGACTCCATAGTAACAGCTACTTTTAAATATTATTGTTTCTTGGTTTACTGCAAGAGGGTGCAAGCACTCTCAGCACTGGTGTCTTCAGACAATTCTCCTCATACGGCCTTAAGCCATCAGGGTGACATGACCATAGAGATAGGCTACCTTTGTTAAGTCGGCTCTGGTGGGCCTTTTGAAGAGGCATGGATTCCCAGAAACTACCACTGGCACCTTTCTCGATAAAGTCCTCCATGGCTTATTGTCTATATGAGACTCATGACCCATGGCACCAAACTCATCACTACCTCCACACTAATCCATGGCTTGTTTAAACCTTCACAGAACAGGTCCCAGGTCATTTCTTCTACCTCCTACATTGGACATGTCACTATTCTGGTTTTTAACCCAGCAACACACATCAAACACCCAGCGGATGCAACTCAGATGAGGCCCTCGCCTAAACCACTTTCCTGAAACTTGTGACCTGGTTATTAAATGCCTTATGTGCTTCAACTACTTATTCATATTCTCCAAGAAGCTTCTGGAAATCATAATTACTAACTCACTCCATTATGCTTTAGGAAAATAAATTTGAATCTCACAAATTTTCAGAGGGCATCTGGCTCCCTAGCTCTCTGAAAAGGGAGGTCTAAGGAACTGCTGGGGCAGCATTTATATTGTGTCAGTCACTTTATATCAAAAACCCAGTCTCTATACAACAAAACTTAGACTTCCCTTCAGTGCCTGATAAGCTAACTGCTGGTATTCTACCCTTAAAGTCTGCTTAAGAATTCACAACCTAAATCTTACTTTCAAAGGAAATACAACCAACTTGGTCCTACAGAGAAAGGTAGTTTTCTTTTTAAGTGTGGGAAAGGCTGCTGTTTTGTAAGAATTACCATCAGGCCCTGGACATGCTGAACTCTGATTAAAGCCTGAAGCTAGAACATATGATGATCACTGACAGAATCTTAGAGAAGACCTTCTTAAAACCATAAAAAGGCTGCTGAGAAATAAAACTGAAAGAGGATTTCTTAATACTCTTTCTTGGCAAAATGAGTATAAAACAACTAAATGCAGTTTTGATCATAGCATAAGTAGGCCAGTATAACATACTTATGTACGCATGCTCAGTTGTGTCTGACTCTTTGTGACCCCCATGGACTGCAGCCCACCAGTCTCCTCCGTCCACATCATTTTCTGGGGAAGAATACTGGAGCTGGTTGCCATTTCCTATTCCAGGGATCTTCCCAAACCAGGAATCAAACCCATCTCTCATGCATCTTCTGCACTGGCAGTGGATTCTTTACCACTGAGCCACCTGGGAAGTCCATGACACAGTAATAGAAGTAGCTTAAACAGCACCTTCTCAGACTTCCCTGGTGGCACAGTAGAAGGGAACCCACCTGCCAACGCAGGAGACATGGGTTCAATCCCTGGTCTGGGAAGATTCCACATGCCACGGAGCAACTATGCCCATGCACCACAACTATTGAGCCTGTGCTCTAGAGTCTGTGATCTACAACTACTGAAACCTATGCACCCTAGAACCCATGCTCCACAATAAGAGAAGGCACTGCAATGAGAAGCCCATGCACTGCAACTAGAGAGTAGCCTCCACTCGCCACAACTAGAGAAAGACTGTGCAAAAGCAACAAAAACCCAGGAGAGCCAAAAATAGATTAAAAAAAAAAGATTCTTGGGGGACCGGGATGGGGAATACATGTAAATCCATGGCTAATTCATTTCAATGTATGACAAAAACCACTGCAATGTTGTAAAGTAATTAGCCTCCAACTAATAAAAATAAATGGAAAAAAATAAAAATAAAAAAAGATTCTTTTAAGTACCTTCTCATAGTCCAGCTGGATTCCAAGAGCAATGATAAGATACTTGTAGGAGATCTGAAACACAAAAAAATGACATTTTAGACCAAGACCCAAAAAGTGGCAGCCCCAGAACTAACTCAGACCCCAGACATGAGTAGCCCCCACTGCGTCCCCATCTTGTAACATGATGACGTAGGGCTGCAGCTAGTGGGCAGGCCAGCAGGCAGGGATGAGCACTCCAGGGTGCCATCATGCCCACCTCTCTGCTGCCTCACATGTCAGTGCTTCACAAATATATAACAGGCCTGGCTTCTGGGAGCTTGAGATGCCTGCACTTTTACACAGTGGGGCACAACAGAAAAGGGACCACAGTTATCTGTGTTAACACTGCTTCATGCCATCACTGACTCAATGGACATGAGTGTGACCAAGCTCTGGGATTTGGTGATGGACAGGGAAGCCTGGCGTGCTGCAGTCCATGGGGTCGCAAAGAGTCAGACATGACTGAGCGACTGAACTGTTTCATGTTGAAGGATGAGAGAATGACTTTCTAATCTTAAAACAATCAACTTTCTTTAAAAGTTAACCTGTAAATCCCAACCACGGGGTAATGTGTGAATCTCAGACTAATCTGTCCTGTCGTAGAGACTGGATCAACAGCGTAACTGAGAAACTGCTCTTTTGAGGGACATTGAAAAAGATGTGATAGAACCTACCTGATCCTACTGAATAAGCTGTTCAGAATTTAAAACTCCTCTCTTTAAATATGGGCATTGTGCTCATCCATGCTGAGGGCAAAAGTATCCATACTTATTATGATGGAAATGTGGGTTCAGGATCAGGAGGAAGACAAGCTGAAGTACAACAGTGTAAGCAAAAAGGATATAAAGTAAAGAAACTTGCCTACAAAACTGGAGAATGACAGCAGTGAATGTGGGAGCCCAGCCCGGAGCCACAGGTGGTGACTGCCACAGCCTTGGAGAGAAGGCTGGATAGGTGGAGAGGTGGATGGTTGGTTTCAGTTGCTTGTGAAAAACACAAATAGAGAAGCAGAGCAGCCTGCTGGGCAGATCACAGTGGAAGAGAGGGGCCTCCGAGACCTGAAAGAGCTTGACTTGGGCTGAGGAGCCAAGGGGAGCAAGTCGCTGAAGAGGTCCTGACCTAGGAGACTCGGCTCCAAGGTCACCTCCACCGTGAGACCTGCCTATGACTCAGTCCCCTCCCTGCTGGCCCCTCCCAGCAGCTCTCTCAGCACAGTGGACTTAATGGTTTTTAGCATTTGTGTTATTCAGCAGCAATGTCCTCCTCACTACACTGAACACTCCTAGAGGATAAAGGTTATGTCTTATTCCTTAGAGTCCTAGAATCTAACACAAGACACTAAATTGAGGAAGTCTGTAACATTTGTTGGATGAATGGATAGGTAGATGGTTGATTTCGGCTGCTTGTGAAAAATACAACTATCAAAGTAGGCAGATAGATACACCTTCAACTGTATGATTTGCCTACCCATAGAGATTGAGTGCCCTTAAATTCCTTATTCTGCAGGAAAGTGTACCAGGATCATTAAATGGTTGAGTGACTCTTCAGGATGTAAGATCAAAGATGGCATAGGATATGGGGGTCCTGACCCACATGTAAGACATATGAGCACTGTAAAGAAAAGCCTTTGGTTTGTGCATGCCTTGATGGTTCTATTAGAGCATAATATTGATTCTTTTTATGGACTAATAATATACAAGCTTAAGACTATGAAAAAAATAAGGGAGAATAAATCCTAAAGTAGCAAAGAACACAAGTACACTTCATGTCTTTTGAATGAGTTCAAGCTTCCAGGGCAGATGATCTAAACTCTAAGGAATTACAAAAACTTGTAGACAAAACTTCTGAACAGTTTCAGAGAACAGTGCAGACCTTGCCAAAAGGCTAAATATGGACAAGTATTTTGTAATTTTATATGGGGGGGGGGTGGGAGAGGTAAATTATGACTAACAATTTAGTAAACAAGATGTTTATCCATTTCAAAATTCCAGGCTCATCTAATAAAAAGATGTCTCATAATAATTTAGAAAAAGAAGGGCATCAGCAAGTGTTTGCAGACTGCAAACCGGCTTCCCATCAGTAGGCAGTCAAGAACTCTAAGCAGAATGTCTACCCAATAAATATTTCCTTTTCCTTTTTTTTCCCATATACTTTTTCCCTTCCTTTTTCTTTTTTTTTTTTTTTAACTTTTTGGTTGCACCACACAGCATGTGAGATCTTAGTTTCCTGATTAAAGATCAAACCCACACCCCCTACAGTGGATGCATAGAGTCTTAACCACTGGACCATCAGGGAAGTCCCTCATGCATTCTTTAAAAAGTAATAACAGCAACATTTCTTAAGCATTCACTTTGTTCAAGGCACTGTCCTGAATATTTTACATGTTTTAATTCATTTAATCCTCACAACAACCCAGTGAAGTCAGTATTAGTACCATTTTACAGATGAAGAAGTTGAGGCACAACTTGATCACAAAGATTGACTGAAAACCTTCTATGTGACAGATATTATGCTAAGTCCTGGAGATACAACACCAAACAAGAAAGACCCAGTTCCTACCCCTCCAGGAGTTCAGTCTAGTGGGCAAGACAGACGTGAACAGAGAGTCACACAGACAATTACTAAACCACAGCATGCTCAGATGGCAAGTCCAGGGGGAAACCTGACTACTCCGGTAGGTCAGGGAGGCCACATCTCAGATAAAGATAAGCTAGGAGGTAGCGAGGGGAAGAGGGGGAAGCAGCCTGTGCACAAGTACCAGGGAAGAGGCGGCTGAGGTGTCTGAGGAGAGGAGAGGCCAGCATGCTGGAGCAGGAACAAGGAACAGAACCAGGTTAAGTCTGGAGAAGGAGCAAGGATCCATCTACACACTGGGCCTATGGAACACACTCCAAACAGACAGATCCCTGGGTCAGGGAAGAGTCAGAGACACAGTGAGTCTGGACTTCAGCAGTGCCCTCACATTGCAGACAGGATAGGAAAGTGTAAACAAATGATGGAAACGATTGTGTAAATTGTTTAATATTTTCAAAAGAATACTGATTGATTCATGTATGCTAGGAAAAAAGTTCTCTAGGGACAGGTTAAAGAATTAAAACCTTGAACTTAAATGAACCCATCATGGATAAAGGCAAGGAAAAACTGCTAACTAGATGACAGAATCACAAATGTAAAAGATCCAGGCAAGCTGGGAGGATGAACCAAAAGCAAGAAGATGAGACATGATATGCAGATTTCTGATACTTGGCTATGGAATAGAAAGTGAAAAGTGAAAGCCGCTCAGTCATGTCTGACTCTCTGCAACCCCATGGACTATACAGTCCATGAAATTCTCTAGGCCAGAATACTGGAGTGGGTAGTCTTTCCCTTCTCCAGGGGATTTTCCCAACCCAGGGACTGAACCCAAATCTCCCGCATTGCAGGCAGATTCTTTACCAGCTGAGCCACAAGGGAAGCCCTGGCTATGGAATACTTTTGCTTAAACAATCCTGGAAAAAAGTCTCACCAGTTTATATACCACCTTATTCCTTAGCCCAAACAAGGCACTACAACTCTCCCACGGGTCTAGACCTTAGAGTCTAAGCAGGTTTCAGAAATGAGGGTGCCTCCCAGTACCTCTCATTCTCAAGAGTTGAGACAAGTTCATGTTCCTTAAGATACATACAAAGCCAATCAGAAAGGTACTGAGCTACTCCTGCAGTGCAGAGGGTCTGACTAGGAGGCAGGCACTGCTGTACTGAAGGGGTGACGTGTCTTCAAAGATACAGGTCTGCTGGTCCCTTGAACTGGAAGCAGACTGGTGAGAAAAAGAAGCCCCAAAGCTGAATCCTGTGAACTGAGAACAGTCTTGTGTTTAATTCAGTCTGTTCTCCTGGAGATATTGGGGAAAATAAGGAAGCTTATCAACATGGGAAAAACAATATATAAAGAAGATATAAATTTTTAAATTTAATGTAAATAAATGTATATTTATTTGTGTACACACATATATATAAATATGTATATATTTTAGGATGGGGGATGCCTGACTCAACAGTAGATCATGTGAAAAAAAGACCCATGGTTTGAACGGATATCTAGTCCAGCATGAATCAGCACTGTGAAAACTGTCATTGGCAAATGCTAGCTTGGGCTCTAGCCAGTTGTGGGAGAGAATGGTCCCACACTATTCTGGGCTGTTCTGTAGCATTGGTTACTCTCCCAGACACCTATTGGGGCCATGGATCATGGGGTACTAACAAGCCAGATGATGTCCAATGCAGGCTAAAGAGGGTAGGGAGGGGATTGGAGCCCATGAGATCTGAGGAAAGTGGGGACAGGAAGAGAAGATGACAGACACAGATTCTAAGTGTCACTTTCAAATAGCTGGAGGGTTTCTCCACTGAAAAGAGAGAAGACCTTCTCTCCCACACTATAGGAAGAATAAGGAACAAGAAAAGTATTATGGCCACTAACACCTTAGAGGCCAAAGACAAAACNTGACTCATTGGAAAAGACCCTGATGCTGGGAGGGATTGGGGGCAGGAGGAGAAGAGGATGACAGAGGATGAGATGGCTGGATGGCATCACCGACTCGATGGGCATGAGTTTGAGTAAACTCCAGGAGTTTGTGATGGACAGGGAGGCCTGGCGTGCTGCGATTTATGGGGTCGCAAAGAGTCAGACACGACTGAGCGACTGAACTGACTGAACTGACATCACCTTCTAACACACTATATAACTTACTTATTATGTTTATTGTTTATTGTATGTCCTCCTCCACTAGAATATAAAATCCTGAACAATAAAGATATTTGTCCTTTTTGGTTCACTCGTATAACCTTAAAACTGTATACACAGGTTATAATAATGGTTAATATAAATACTGAGGGAGGAAGGAAGGAAGAGCAGAAACTAGGCAGGTAATCTTGATCAGGGTTCAGGGAAAGGATACAAAAAATCTCTGTACTACTTGAAATTAAATGCAAAATTAGGCACATATATGCATTCTGTAAAGCAGGCTAAGGTCCTGCTTGGAAAGATCCATGACCTAAGGAAAGGTTGAGAATGCCTGCAGCCAATGGTCCCTGCTTAGAGCAAGAGGTTAGAGCTGAAAGATTTCCACCAACTCTGATTCTACAGTTCTGTGAAAATGCTGGCGTGCCCAGTTTGGAGGGATATGGGTCAGGGGATTAAGGCCAGTAACACCCTTAGGGCCCAAGAGCCACCAGACCCTGGGACAGGCCGGGGACAGCATGGTGGCTGTCCCAGGCTCAGCAGCAGATGAGGGGACAGGATGGCTTCTGAGCCTGTCTTCTCACCATCCTGCCCTCATCCCCTCAGTCAAACCCAGGGGCTGCAGCTGCTGAAAAGTTGGGATCCAAGTGTGGTGGGGATGGGAGGAGACATCTATGGTGCTGAGCAATTGTGACCTTCAAGCTGCAGCAGCAGCCATTCTTAGCCCTAACACCAACCAGAGTCACACGGCAGAGCACCCACTAGGGTGACTGAGATGGATACTTTCCAACATCCCCTTCCTCTGCAGGGCCATCTGTCAAGTGGAGAGGCCCACTGCTTCAAAGGAAAAAGGAGGTACCTGGTATTTTAACACAGAGCAGTAGTGTCTGTTCAGTAAGAATTCAGGTACATGATACTGTAGTAAGCAACAGGGCAAACAGTGGTTTTCAACAAATGCTTGTCTTCATTGTTCATTTATTAATTCAGCATCACTCAGTCCTTCCATCTATCCCGTCCTCCTTTTCCCACACCTGTCCCATCTCACACAGTATTCAGCACACACACATGCACACACACACACACACAGATACCCCACCCTCTCACCACGAAGCTGTCCATTTTGATACAATGTGCATTCAGTATAAACCCTCAGGTTAACAAAAGCCAAAGGACCCCAGTGGTTACCTTCTTGTCATCATCTGTGTGGATGCAGTTCTTGTCTGGATTCAGATCAACCACCCTAGCTTTGATCCACTCCACACCAGATGGAATCACATTTGCTGTGGGACGGCCAGATGAGGATAATGGTTTGGCACCAGCACCCACCAGGGTCCAGATGGGCTGGTAGAAATGTGTCTAAAAAACAAAGTATTTGGAGATTCATTACAATGTGAGGCTAATCAAAAGAGTCATAGCTAAAGATACATGAGCTAGACTCTCCCAGTTCCTCCCTCCTGACCCTTGAAGCATCACAGAGAAGTCTCCAAAAGGTTAGTCTTCCCCCACCAACTCCACTGGTATTTCCTACTATGTTAAATTCTGAAGGGCAGTTACCTTAAATCCACTTCAAGCAATATATAACACAGTGGTCACTAAAGATAGTTTATGACTTTCTTTGCTGATCTTGGCTGAATTCTTTTGTAGGTAAGGTAGCTCAGATGGTAAAGAATCTGTCTGCAATGCAGGAGACCTTGATTAGATCCCTGGGTCAGGAAGATCCCCTGAAGAAGGGAAAGGCAACCCACTCCAGTATTCCTACCTAGAGAATTCCATGGACAGACCATGGTGTCACAAAGAGTCGGACACGACTGAAACGACTTAGCACACAGGCATACTGGATTAGAGTGTCCTCAACTGTCTAATGTTTATCCATTGGATTGTCTCTAAAATCTAATCCAATGACTGGTGTCCTTGTAGAAAGGTCTTGTGCCAACACTAGTGGCACACATAGAGAAGGCCATGTGAAGACAGAGGCAGGGATTGGAGTGATGCACGACCAGCCAAGGAACACCAAGGACTGTCCACAACCACAGAAGCTAGGAGAGAGGTGTGGGACAGCCTCCCCTTGCCCTGAACAGCCTTTAGAGGAACCATGGCCCTGCTAACACCTTGGTTTTGCACTTCCAGCCTCCAGAACTGTGAGAGGATAAATTATCTGTTTTAAGCCATGCTGTTTATGGTCATTTGTTATGGTACTTCTAAGAAACTAACACAGAGGAGATCATAAGAAGCCAAGAGATTTGTCCCTGCTCTCTCCCTCCCCCCACCTCCTCCCAATCCTTTTGGATGACCAGCTTTTCATGCCCAGAAAGAGAAGCATGAACCTGGGGACATGGAGGCCCAGGGCATGACAGTCATCCCCACCTCAGCCCCTAATCCACACGTGCACGTGCACAACACACACAACACACACTCCTAAGGGGAAGACTTACCTCGCTGGGCTCAACGATGGCCACGTTCTCTGCGCCCACTTTCCTCTTCATGCGGGCGGCCATGCTGATCCCACCACTGCCCCCACCCAGCACCAGCACCTCATAGTGGCTCTTGGCTGCAAGGCTGGCCCCCGTGTGCAGCTGCAGGGGGCTGGCCTGCTGAGAGCCCAGCCTGAGGAAGCAGGCGAAGAGCCGGGCACGGGAGCTAGACACCACAGAGACCAGCGAGGTCATCTTCAGGCCGGATCAGACTACAAAGGAACAGATAAGACTCCAAATAAGGAAAGAGCCACTATGGGACCAAAGCATTTTCTTTTAGGGAGGAAGGGAAGACTGGCGTCTGGCTGGCTCCAGCTGGTTCCCACTATTTCAAGACCACCTTCCCACCTGGCCGTGATCAAGAGCTTCTTGGGAATGCTCCACCGATGGCTAACAACTGGCTAAGCTTTCCATTTCTCCCTCTCCTCCTTCCTTCAGGACATCGCAGGCTTTGTGTGAACCAGGTAAACCTCGCCTTTTAAGCTCTCTCTCATAACGTGCCTGTGCCCATCCTTGCCCATCCCTAAAGTGAGGGCATCATCTAGCATAACCACTGTCACCCTCTTCTCTCTGGCACATTCTTCAACTCTTTCTTTGGCTTTTCGGTCCATCAGAGATGTATGAGTCTACAATTCCTTGCCACCTGAGACCTTGCTTAAAACAGAGAGTTCAGCAAGAAACCCACCTTCTACAGCTCAGGGTTCAGGTCTCAGAAATCAGAGCCTTGGTCCCACTCAGAAGTACCTGGATCTGCTGTCCCAGGGACATGCAATTTAATCAGATCACTGGCTACAGACACATGAGCAAAGGCCCTCCACACCTTTGGCAATTTCAACCAGATGATTAAAAAGCCATAAAAGGAGCCCTTCCCTAGCATCATAAAGCTATATTTTATGTAAAGAATCTGCATATCCTGCTGACAAGTCTTTTATTATATCCAATTCAGTAAATAATCTCCCCTTGATAGGTTTTCCAAGAGATGTACTTCACCTTTAAGAAAAGCTGTTTCTGCTCTAGCAGTTGGTGCTTTGACAGTGAGGAAATGAAGGCTACTCAGAAACTGGCCTTGACTTCATCCCATCCTCAGAACGGGTTTTATATCTTGGATGTGATCTATCATGTAAGTTGAGGGGCCCAGACCAAAATATCTCCCTCCTTGTGTATTACAGAGCCCCAGATTTCATCATCTAGCACCATCCTGGGGGTTCCTATGCTCCAGGAACCCTTTATAAAAAGTACCCAGCTGAGGGTACCCAGCAAGTACCCAGCTGGGGGATAACATTTCTAGCTTCTAAGATCACTAACTTCTAAATGGGAATAATATAATTATATGACTTCCCAATGGTGGAGAAGAGGAAGGCTACACAAGGTAATTAGAGAAAGTTGGGATGGGGAAAGGCTACGAAAGGAAGAAGAAAGGGCCCTGGAGGAGTGAGGAGGAGGAGCCAGAGTGATGATTTTAATTAGGATTGACTCTGTTCCAGTATTTTGGCACCCGTGACAACTTCCTCAGTATTTCAGATCTGACAGGCAACCTGGATCTGGGGGAGGGTACATAGGGTTATAGAAACTGAGGCAAAAAAAAAGAAAAGATAAAGTAATTAGCCTCCAACTAATAAAAATTAAAAAAAAAAGAAAAGAAAAGAAAAGAAACTGAGGCAGGCTCATTCACGGTTGCCGCAAGTTTAAGTCAGTATGACTCTTATCAAAAACACTTCTCATCCTTTGACTCTGCTCTCCCATTTCTGGGACTCAGGTCTAAGGAAATAACCTCTACTACTTAAGAAGACAAGATTCTACAAAGGTATATCTCACATATTCATTCATAATACAGTCAAATCTGAGTTAACTGGCTTATGGATTGGATCTGATTTCATCCTGGTTACAGAAAAAACAACTGCAGGCTCTAGACTGGCCAGGAAAGGCTCAGGTTCCAGACTGTTCTAACCAAGGCTAATTTATGATTGCTTCTATTTAAAATGGGTAGGGGGAACAGAGATAACCATCCACATGTCAAACTTTGAGGAAAGGTTACATAAAATATTGTTACACAAGATGACCTATGTAGTCTTTTCAAATTATGTTTACAAAGAGCATATAAAATGCTTATGTTGTGATCAGAATATAAATTGGAAATACAAGTTCAACTATGTAAGAGAAAAATGCATTTTATTTATTCATTTTTTTTTTAAAAATGCATTTTAAAAAAATAAGAAGATTTTAACATGGGCAGTTTTCTCTGGGTTTTAGAATAATGGGTGATTTTGATTTCTTCTGCTTTTCTGCATCTTATAAAATCTCTACTATATGCATACATTAATATTATAATAATAAACTATTTTGATGACAATAACAAACATGTTCTAAGTCCTTTACACAAACATTTTACCTGTGAGCTGACTATCATCATCACCATTTTACAGATGATAAAATTGAGGCAGAGCTCACATGTGGATTATGATTTGAACCTGGACACTTAAGTGCCAGGGTGTTTGCTTTAAACCACTATATCTACTATGTCTATCAACAATAAACAGTGCTAACATGAAAATCTTGAATGAAAAAATCCAGATATTTTCCATATTTTCCACAATAGGGAAACCATTTTTTCATGGTATTGACACCTAAAATAGTAGCAATGTTTTGATATAGCTATAATTTACTTTTTCCCTCTTCTTTGCATGTGCTTTTCTCACATTTTCTTTAATAAGCTTTAAATTTTAAAAATCACTCAATTTGTTTTTGTTTGAGTTTTGTTTGTTTTTTGTTTCTTAATGATTGAGGAGTGGGGGAAATCACCAAGTAGAATGGTACTCTCTGGTTGGGAAGAAGATATTTTATGATGAATAGACAGTCCTCATATTCTGCCTTTCTATATGACAGCAAATCTCCTCACTTGACTTTGAGGAAAACCACTTTTCCACGGTCCCGACACAACATCTTGTTTTGTTTTTTTTTGGCCACATGACTTGTGGGATCTTAGTTCCCCGATCAAGGACTGAACAGTGGAAGTGCAGAGTCTTAATCACTGGACCACCAGGCAATTCCCCTGACACAGAACCTTAACTCCATGGAGTTACAAAATAATGACCTAAAAGAAAGCCTGGCTAAGTTTCTGATTTCAAGCCACACGATCTGAGGCCCTTCAACCTCCTCATTCCCTTCCAGCCTAATACCCCATGGTTCTCCTCTTGAAAGAGGAAAAGTTTATGCAAATACTTCCCTCATTCAGCCAAGAAGGCAAGTTCTATTTTATTTCAGCAGTTTCGCATAGCTTATTTCTGGATTCTGTAGTAATAAACACAAAGTCCTCTGAACTAATTCGATCAACTTCATTAATAATCGTTATCAAGCAGAATGTCCTGGCCTTTGCAGTCAAATTTCAACCATAAACAAAAATTTCACAAACATAAAATAACATGTTAGAGGAAATGTTCCAAGTTTCAAAACACTTGAAAATCTCAGTAACACACTCATTCTAACAATATAACGTCATCCTAACTTTCAGGTCAGAAAAACCAGAACCACAATCTAACACTATCGGTAGAGAAGGTAGGGCATGATACAAAGTCAAAGACCAGAAAGAAACCAGAACAATAATGCAAAATCATAATTTAGATCCCACTTTGGAATGTGGGAACATTGACCTAAGCCAAGACTGGAGAAACAATCGAAAAACCAGACAATTGAAGGAAGCAAGCCACATAATCTGAACCAGAATGAAAAAGAAAAAAAAAAAGCAAAAAAAAAAAAGACCAAACTTGACCCTGGAGTCAACAGCAAAGAAATTTTTTAAAAATCTGTCAACAAAATAACTAAGGAGCATAAATCTAAGTCTCTGAGTCTCCCTAGAAGGTAGCCTGAAACACATGTACCTGAAGTTAAGAAATAAGAATTACCAACTAACAATGCAGGAAACGCAGCTGCTTTCTCTCTACACTCTTAGAAAGTGAAACACACACTCTTTTTGAAAGAATCAATAAGGCAAAGTTAACTTTCTTTTAACAAATGCCACATTTAACTGAAATAAATGTATTTCATTTATCAAACACATGTTCTAATTAAATAATGTCATAAGTTAGATAAAAATTCCTCAATTAATCCTAAATCAATCGAGTGCTTCCTTCAAAGAATGAAAATAAATGCTCTACTATATGTGTAGTCTGACTGAAGAAGTAAAACCCCCGCTAATTGAAAGGTAAGACAGCCTGCTAGGCACCTCCTACTTACATTGCTGGCTGCTGATCTGGGGTCCTGGTCCAGACAAATCTTTGGAACTCCACACCTTTCTACAGCCAGCCCTTCTGGGAAAATCAGTGCACATTGCCAGAGGCGAGAGCTCCCTAATCCTGGGCCGTGTGACATGCCACTCACTGGGTGTCAGCTAGGACACTTAGCTGAGTTCAAACAGAGGTGACCTCTAAACAAGGATTATTCAGAGCATCTTAACGAAAGATCCATCAGGCCAATAGGACTTACAGTCAATCTTTCAGTTATTTTTGCTCTTGAACAAACTTGACCCTGGAGTCAACAGCAAAGAAATTTTTTAAAAATCTGTCAACAAAACAACTAAGGAGCATAAATCTAAGTCTGAGTCTACCTAGAAGGTAGCCTGAAACACATGTACATGAAGTTAAGAAATAAGAATTACCAACTAACAATGCAGGAAACGCAGCTGCTTTCTCTCTACACTCTTAGAAAGTGAAACACACACTCTTTTGGAAAGAATCAATAAGGCAAAGTTAACTTTCTTTTAACAAATGCCACATTTATTTAACTGAAATAAATGTATTTCATTTATCAAACACATGTTCTAATTAAATAATGTCACAAGTTAGATAAAAATTCCTCAATTAATCCTAAATCAATCGAGTGCTTCCTTCAAAGAATTAAAATAAATGCTCTACTATATGTGTAGTCTGACTGAAGAAGTAAAACCCCCGCTAATTGAAAGATAAGACGGCCTGCTAGGCACCTCCTACTTACATTGCTGGCTGATGATCTGGGGTCCTGGTCCAGACAAATCTTTTGAACTCCACACCTTTCTACAGCCAGCCCTTCTGGGAAAATCAGTGCAGACTGCCAGAGTCGAGAGCTCCCTAATCCTGGGCCGTGTGACATGCCACTCACTGGGTGTCAGCTAGGACACTTGGCTGAGTTCAAACAGAGCTGACCTCTAAACAAGGATTATTCAGAGCATCTTAACGAAAGA